GTGCTGCAGTTCCACAACACGCCCGTTCCCTCTGCTGGAACACGCTGGCACGTGTGGCCCACGAGTGGCCACGTGTGTGTGTGTGTGCCCAGCCCTGACCCCTCGGTCCCTCCGTCCCTGCAGGTCCCTCCGGCCAGAGCCCGCTGCTCCTCTCGCTGAGCGGCAACTACTCTGCCCCTCTGACCGTCACCAGCAGCGGGAACAAAGTCTACCTCCGTTGGTCCTCTGATCATGCCTACAACAGAAAAGGCTTCAAGATCCGCTATTCTGGTAAGCACACAGCAGAGGCTGAGGTGTCTCTGCCAAGAACATGGCCATCTCTTCGGCCAGGGAGCTCCATGACATCGCTGCGGAGGGGCACAGCCATCTGCGTGGGCAGCAGCTGCCAGCGCCTGGGAAGGGGCACAGAGCTGGGCTCGTGCTGGGCTGGGGATGGCAGCTTTATTTCCAGCAGAAACCTCGAAGCTTTGGCTGGTTTCTCAACTACTTTTCAGAATCAGAACCAGAACATACAACCAGAGACGATGTGGCTCTGGATGAATGCGACCCATCCTGTGCAATGCACAGCAGAGATTGCATTTAGTGTTACTAAATTAATGGTGTCCTTGCAATGACATTTTGAGGTGTTGGGAGATGAACATCAGAAGACACAAGAACTGGTGTTAGTTGCTGTTTGGTGCATGAGGCACAAGCTCACACGTGACTGCTCCTGCAACAGCGTTTGCAGTGAACTTCTTGAAACATGTTGTGCTCTCCTACGAGCAGGAGCAGGGAGTCTCAGCTGCTCATTCAGCACAAAACCGCTGCTGGGTGCTGAATGTTTGCTGAGAATTCCTTAAAATGAATTACTGTCTTTTGGTACTCGGCAAATCTTAATTAATGGAAGTTATAAAACTGGGTTGAGGACTTGCCAGTGTGTCATAAATAAATAACAGCTTTACTCAGTAAACGAATTAAGGAATATTTAATTATCAGAAATCAGTCTTTATTTCTAGAGCTGAGTGAAACTTGAACAGTAGCCCTGCTCACTCTCCCCCTTTGGCTTTGTATTTATCCATCACAAGCCCTCTGTTTGTTGTACAGCCTTAGGTGAGCGCGGTGTAATTCCTGAGAACAGGAAGGGAATTTGTCTCGAAACAGCCCATCCAGTGATGCTTTTTTTTTTTTTTCCCTCTGCCCTTCTCTCCAGCTCCGTACTGCAGCCTCCCGCAGCCGCCGGCCCACGGGCTGATTCTCAGCCAGACGGGGCTGCAGCCCGGCAGCCCGCTGCGCCTCGCCTCGTCGGCCACAGCACCACCACCTGCTCCCAGCACCCGCAGGGCTACTTCCACTGGGACGAAGCGATCCCGCTGTGCCAAGGTGAGAGCAGGCAGACGTGTCGTTGCGAGGGTCCGGGAGTCCTAGGGAGGACTGAGGAAAATTTGGTAAAAATAGAAACCTATTGTAATTCCACCTGTTCCGTATGGAGAACAGACATGGAGCAGCAGGCGGGTGGTGAGGGGTGCTCCTCTTGCATCCAAGGCCTTGGGAATAGGTGAGCAAGGAGGGAGGGGAGTAACTGTTTGGGAGTGTTTGGGATGGGGGAGACAAAAAGCATCTGTGCAAAGGCTGCGGCTGTAGAATGTTTA